GTTAGTTTCCGAACTTGATAAGTAATTTCAAATACCAAGGAATGCCAGTGTTTTCGGAAATATTTGCTTTGTTTTTATGCACTTAATATTATTCTTATTTACTTTTAATCAAATATTAGCCACAGCCGTAAGGATAGTCTTCGAATTATCCTCGCAGGAAACGAAACTCTTCGGAGAGAGCAAACACGCCCGGTCCGAAATGCGATTGAAATTGAAATGAATTGACCGGAGGAGGAATTGAACGTCGGAGGCGGCAGCTCAGTCGCTATCGCCGTTGCGCTGCCAGTCAGTCAGTCGAGAGCGCGAGAGAGTCACTGAGAATTGGAAAGAAGAAGATACTCGAACTGTTTTGGGATTTTTGTTGGTGGCACCGTGAGTTTTTGAAGTGAGTTCATGAACTTAGGCTATAAATACAAATTCGAGAAGTTAGTTATTGTTTGATATGATTTTAATTTAAAAATATACAAAAATATTACTTTTGTGTAAAATTACTGAGTTGTTATTAATAAAAAGTAAAATTACAATACAATACAAAATAAGGCAAGAAGATTGAAGAATTACACATTTGGTCAGTTTCCATGTTAAAAACAAATCTCTTTCAAAGCTTCGTTCAGTAAATCATTAAAATAGTTTCTTCTAATTGAAACCTCAAAGTTTCTAATTGATTTAAAAAAATATTTTCTAAATAACTATAACTATTATTATTATTAAAATTAAAACATGGTATGCTCAACTAATTTCAATAAGAAATAAAAAATCTTCCATAGAAAAATATGTGTGTATGATTTACAGAAGCTTCATATTCAGTTAAACTTCTTTTTTAGTGGTATGGAAGGGGGCTACAGAAATAATAATGGTATTAAATAATATCTGTATCCGTGGTTTAAGAAGATATCCTTTGAAATATATAGAAAATTTAATTATTAGCCCGAATTTAGTGAGTATTTTTGGACGAAAAAAATAATAATTTTTTATGATTTTCGTTCAGAATAATTTTCGTGATTTTTAAATAAAAATTATAACAATAATTAAATAAGTCCTATTACTTATTTTTGATATTTCCACCACTAGCTTTATATTTCTAACAATGCAGGTAAGCCAGGTATCTGGCACCTTCCATCCCTAGCCAGCGATGCAGCATCCAGACGGACAAGATTTCAAAACAAATGCTGTAACATGCGAGAAGCAACAGGAAAAATAACAAAACAAGAGCAGAGTGGAATCGAAATGGAAATGCCAACCTCAAGACGACGAGAGAGAGCAGCCAGACACGTGGAGGAAACGGAGATAGGGTAACCAGTGAGGATAAACAATTGGCCATGTGCAACCGAAGCAAAACAAATGCGAACAAGTTACCAGAAACGGCAGCACAAATACAGAAACTACGAGGCAATAGACCGTGCCGGACCGTACGAACGGCAATTGCTGGAAAATCCAAGCCGGAGAGACCTGACGACGGGCTTTTGTTGTTATTGCAACCGCATCTAATTAGACCAGCGACACGACGACGACGAGGAGGAGAACAGCAGTAGCCACCTGTTGCATGCCAAGCCAGGAAGTCTGCGATGACAAGCTCCAGCACCCCGGGTGCTGGAAAATTATGTAAAGTGCTTCCAACAGGCGCCTGATAATTCCGGGCTGTTCTCGTAATATTGAAATATTGGCTTTGGAAAGTCAGAATAGGGGCTTGCTTTTATGTAGGCAATTATACAGGAAAATAATAATTGCCTCAATTAAAGGGCAAAATTACCATCACACTAAAAAATATATTTTATTAAAATTTAATATAGAGTATTTCCGGTTTTAAAGAAAATCCAAAATCAATATCCATTAAATACACTCCGATCATATCAGGGTAATTGGAAACAAAACTTTCTCGACGAGTAGGGACATTCATTAACTGGGTGAAAGTCAGCAACAGGTCCAGAATCCACTGGAAACACTCAACAAGTCAATTCCAATCACAAACTTGTTCGCTCAGGGAAATTCCAATGCGCTTACATAAAGTACAAGAGATATGGATGTGACAAGTGGATGGGACCAAAGCATGGGGTGTCCCCATGCCATCGATATAATAATACATGGTCTTGAAGTTTTTCCTGTTCATGCATTGTGTAAATGTTCTATCATCTGTATGTGGCATGCTCCACTTTCGGGAGTTTTCAATAAACTGATAATATAAGCACAAGGGCAAGATAAGAGCCACACTTATTTTATGTATTTTAAGACGATAGTATCACGGGGGGGTGATGAAATTATTAACCAGTACCTGCTAGAAATACTGAGTCTAAAAATATAAATCAAGTTCTGTTGCCAAGACCTTAAATCCTTCAACAAATCAAGTGGACTTGAGGAAACCAATTTTTTCGATTCGATTCTCAACACACACACTTCCAAAATAAAATTAAATCAATATTCGAACAATTTTCAAAGTCAGACAGAAAATGACCATAAATTTTTGATTAGATCAGCACAATTGAGAACAAGGACAATTCGGTTAGACATTTAAAATGCACTGAGAGAGCTTTAAATCAATAGAGAAACGTGAAACGCTTGAGAACCCGCCAGGAAGAATATATTTCTTATAAAAATAATCATTGGATTTTGCCAGGAAGGAGATAATTGCATCAAAAGCCAACGCCACAGATGACAACAGATTACTTTCTTTGATCTTGCTAAATAAACCAGAATATATATATATATCTTGTATATGCCCATTAAAGTGAGTCTTTTTTGTAATATTAAATGCTTCAAGTGAGATCATTTTCCTGCATTAAATGCTATGAAATGTATATTATTCAACCAATGGCGAAAGGTAATAATACAAATGCAAGGGGATTAATCATCATGAGCTGTTTAGACTTAATCTAAGTAGAACGGGTTTTATTCCCTTTCATACTCTATAGGGCTTAGTTTAATAAAATATTTAAGACTTAAGAAAAAGAACCACACATTGGTATGAGGAATCGAGTTTCTGGATTTTTCTGAACCATTTCCATTTAGGAACCACTTCTCCAAATTAGGCAGTTAATTGCCTGCCCATTTACACACCAAACTGGCAGGTTTAAGATGAAGTTTGAGTGGAGACTCTCACTTAGGAAACCCCCCTGAGTATAAAACACAAAACCAGTTTATCTCCGGTCAATAAATTGTGGTTCAAGATTTTTTGCAACTCGTTTTTTTGATTTTTGCAAAAAAAAAAAAAACCAAAACAAATGTGAACTTCAAGTCAGAGATTACGTTGACCCACATTTAATCATTTTGTAGCATAATCAAATAAATAAGGAACATTAAGAATCCATATCGATATAAATTTGATTTTTATTTTTATTTGCCTCATTAGGTAACATCCGAAAACGTATTCCCATCCAAAGTTCAGCCAAAAAAATATTGCGTATATCGAAATGCATATGTATATTATATGTATGTATCTGAGATATATTGAGAAAAAAAGCTTTTGCGGATCTACGTCTGCAATTGTTTTCCCTTTGCGTCATTCCATGTCACGTGTGGGGGCGGCGAGCCCACAAAAAATTGTATCTTCAAGGTAACATGGAGATTATGAGCCAAAATGTGTACAAACAAAAGTGCTACAGGCTCATTATTCTAAAAATATTGATACTTTTGGCCAAGAATAATGCAGAAATCTCTTAGGTCTCATGACAAGAAGTGTATTTTGTACTCCCTGTATATAGTAACTCAAAGAACTTTGGACTTTTTCAGGAAAAAGTAGGTTGACATATGGAATATAATAATAAATTCATCTAGGTTTTGTTAATTCCTATCGCAAACACACGAGAAAGAGTTCATTAAATTCAGTTACTCTATATTATTCCACAAAACACTGTTTACATATAATATCAGTTGGAGATACAGCAAATAGATAAAGTAAATAGAAGCCTAATCAAATTTCTCAGTTAAGTGGAAGGTCACACACAATGATTTATTGGGCCAGTGAGTCAAATAAATAAATTATCCAAAATATTGAGATCTAATAAAATTAAAGGTTTAATCCACAGAAAGAAGTATATATTTTCTTCAAGTGTGGTGATACTGCGTCTTTTCTGTTAGATCAGCTGACAGAATAGGTAAACAAATATCTCGTTTCGAATAACAAATATATAAAAGTTCCATGAACAATATTCATTAAAATAAAAGCTTTCATTCGAAGAACCTTTAGGGCTGTTTAATATTTACGATCTATAAAGGTTTACGATTCTCCCGCTTCTGAAAACCCACAGCTTACTCTTATCGCACGTGTTTAAGTTTGTTCTTTAATAAAATGGTAAGCCTTTAAGCCTACTGGATAATTGCAGGGACAACCTTGAGTATGTTAATTACTTTTCTGAATCTGAATAATTTTGCATACATTATTATCTTTTGGTGGCGTCACTTAATTTTGTCGGTCAGGTGGTTGGCCAGACACGAGAGAGATAATGCCAAGCGAAAGAGAAAGGCGGGAATTTCGCCAGGAATTTGCGCAAAAATTTGTCTTATTAGTTAGATAATAGATAAACTTCAGGAATGAATAGAGTCATGGGTTGTTAAGTGGGCGTGTACACAAAATGACGACACTTGATAACCAGAGCACTCAATTGGCCTACTGAGCTCGAGATAAATGCCTTTCTTGTGAATGGAATGAATATTTTTAGACAAGCAATAGAATATAGAAAACTCTCATCGATCGTAAGTAGCTTCACGCGGATCACTATCACTACTTGACATTCAATTAATATATTGTTTATATAACACAACCTCTTACCTAACGCCACAAGTGCCACGCGCTCTTTGGACTGAAACCCGGTTTCTATCGCGTCATAAAAACTAAGATTTTTTTTGAGCTTTTTTTAGGAAAATCTGTAAAAAGCCAAGGGGCTTGTCACACGCATTACACCTGATTCAAGGTCAACGAAAAACAATTAAACGCCACAGGAAATACTAATCACCTTTCTAATCGCAAGTAATTACCATATACACCTCTCGAAGAAAATGAATCTTACCATTTTGGTTGTTTCGGTTGCCATGGCTGATCAGTGTGTGGTTCGGTCGTGGGATGTCTGAAGAATTGGCGTGGCTATTTTATTTTGGCACACACACTAAATGATTAGTTCATAATTTACACAGTCGCGTCTATTTTTTGTTCGAGTGTTGGCCAGACAACGTTTTTTATGAATATGTTGCTCAGCGTTCGACGACTAATTTGTGAATGCTACCAAAAACCGAAACCGATTTTCTTTGGCCGTTCTCCTCGCGCTCTCTCTATTTTTGTTAAGCCCTGGACAAAAGAAAATATCTGATAAGTGTATCTGTTTGCCGACCGAGAGAGATACAATAATGCTTATGTACAATATATACCGCCATCGAGCGGGTCGCGACGAATATGGAGAGCATAGTGCAAATACTAGCGGCTACTCAGCGAGAGAGACCGGAGGCTCTACAGTGAAACACCTAAATCTCCAGCTATTAACTTGGCTAAAACCAAGTTGTGGTTAAATCTTAAAATTGGGATAAAATATGGAAAGATATAAAATTTTTAAGAGATTCTATCACCCATTAGAATACCTATGTTTTAATATATTCCTTTTAATTATCTTATGGAGAGTCCTCACTGTTGTTTGCGTTAGTGGAATGTGGTCATTCGTCTTGTTGGGGTTGCCTGCAACTCTCAATGACCTTTTTCCTTTTACAACTCACATTGACCTTAAACCACTCCCGACCCGCCCGACATGCAATATAGTAATTCCACCATTTCCCCAGGCTGATGAAAACTCATTCATGGAAACGAAATGTGACGTCACCTGAGGCAGTATCGTGTATATTGCTTTACGATTTGTTGACATTTAGCGCCAGATGATGACATTATTTCGCGGAGATCCCATCTGGAGGGAACTTTATCTCATATCTCTTCGGATTAAGTTCCAAAATCCAATTATGTGGAATAGGTCTATCTAATGATAAGCAATTAATGTGAAATTATAAAAAAAAATTACTTAGAAGTCTTTCAAATTTAAGATATCCGTTGCATTTAAACACTTTTTATTTTACATTTGTTCTGTATTTTTTGAATAAATTTATCCGTACCTCGATGTGAGGTACTTAACGGATAGGTAGAGAAGAAAATAACCACAGAAACGGATAACATCCCTTTTACATGTTACAGTAAATATGGAGAATGTCAAATACTTTGGGTTGGAGTCTTTGGTAAAATATACAATTGGGTTTAGGTCCGTGATTAGCATTTTTTGGTAAAATAAATTTAAACTTAAGCTTGTTTTCAATAAAGAGGTTAAAATAAGGTTAGTTTAGTGTTTGGACGAAAATGTATGCTTCTTATACTCAATTTCTATCTTTGTGATAACAATTAAGCTAATACTAACTTCCTACCCACCGTTTTCTAGTGATGTTTCCTGAATTTTCGGTTCTGACGAAGTCATCTGGATTTGGATCTGAAGTCAGTGGTGATGCGGTGTAGAGTCCTTGCCTAGAGTGTCCTGGGATCCGGAATTGACAAAGTAGGTGCTGGAGTGATTCGTTATCTTCGTCTTGGATGCTCCTTCAAAAATTGTGGTGTCATTCTAGCCATATGTGGACCCATCCAACAAATTTTAACGATCGACATCTTGGCTAAATTTTTAAAGAAAAATATGTAAGTAAAAGAATCAAGCAGTAGAGTATAATATTCCTGCTACACCAAATGCTAAACCTCTTTTTCCGTTTAGGCAGCTTCTCGAGTAAAACTTTGAGATGTGTTAACAGTCTATCCATATTCGAACTGATCCGACAGTTTCCAGCGATGATTGAAACCATATCTAGGGCTTTAAAAACAAAATATAAAGTAATATTATACTAACATAATAGTATTAAATATAAAAATCAGAATCTATAAAAATATTGGTTGAAACTAAAGCTCCTCACACTTTCCCCCTTCTTCGGACATAAATGGTTGTTGGGCAAAGTTCCACAGGTCTCACCGTAACCGCATTGTAGATACGTCTCCATAAAAATATATAAATTGTAGTCTTAATAAACCGCAAGTATTAAACTCAATTAGAAATGTAAGAAGTTTTTGACTAAATGACTAAACATATTAAACTTTTTTTATAGGAACCATTATGCCGCTGTAATTGCCCTCAGAAGCGGGTCTTATATAAAAAATTTATGAAATTCTTATTAACAGGCCATATTAAATTTCATGCTTTTCAAACAAAACGGAAGTACATTTCATTATTTTGATTCCAGCGAGATGAATCTACTTGCCAGTCATCATCATGGTCGTCTAAAGGATCTGCGCCGCCGCAGAGCTACCGTTAACACCCATTGCCGTTTATTTTTTAGAGTGAGAGAGGAAGAGGAAACTCGGCGTAACCCCAAATCGCAACCCTATTAGTATGGACGTTATATTTCCAGACTGACGCTGCAGTTGCGCGGCGGCTGTCAGCCGATGATTGCGATGATGCTGCATTGTTTTTTCCTCTTCTGGTTTTTTTTTTATTTTTTGTATTTGAGCTGCCCCCTTTAACGATTCCGCTCGACGCAAGGATAACGAACTCTAAAGTCCTACGGATCCGACCTCTCAGTCTACCCTTTTCACGGCATTGAATTTCCCCCTTTTCGGTTTTTTTTCTGGCCTGTTTCGCATTTGTTTGTGTTTTGTCTGCTGCCAGATTTCAGTTTTTTCAGTTTTTGCAGCAGCGGGTTGCAGGATATTATTCGCGCAGCTGCTTTCTCGGGGTTTCACGGTTTTGTGTGTTGGCTGTAAGTTGATCGCCACTTGATGGGAAAACCACTCCACATTTTCGACTTTCCTTGGAGTGTAGGTGTTGACGATCGATCGGAGGGTAAAATTGACGTCTATAACCCTGAAATTAGCATTCTTAAGTTTACAATAAAATATTGTTTCTTAAGGTTAGAAAGAAGTAGGAGAAAGGGTTATGTTTTTGTTCTTTTTTTATAGTCTCTTGGGTTACTTCAATAAATTACTAGATTTGGAAGCTTTGTCACATTTTTGTTTGATATTTATACAGTTATCTTTAGATGTTAAGACTTTTTGAGCCTCCTTTTAAATATATAACCCATTAAGTAGCTTCCGATCTTCCCAAAACTGTCCCTACTTCTAGTGTATAGAACCCGAAATCAAGCTAGGGGAAGTAGTGTTCAAAAAACCGTAAGTAATTGCCGGGATATGCGTGCAAATATTTTCTATTTTTGCCCAAAAAAACCCTAACCATTTTTTACAGTTTTTTTTTTGCTAACCCTCCCCTGGTTTGTAATTAAAAAAGCGAGAAAAAAAGAACCATTTGGGTTCGGGAGTTCACTGTGCAAAAAGGCTAGATGAGGAGCGTGATTGTGCAATGATCGGAAAAAAGGAAATCTGAACTTAATGCACTCTCCTCGGGGCAGATAGAAAAATTGTTTGATTGACTGAATAGACTCAACTACGTTGTGGAGCAGATGATATATGGGTTTCTGGGATCTTGAGGAATCCATGCAAATTAGGGGTTGCTCTGCTCCCAATTAATTCCTATCTACTCCAAAGTCTCACATTAGTTGCGCATCTTGCGTACATTTCCTAAGAGGGATCTTCTTTTTTTACCTCAATTTTTTTTTAAGGTTGACAAAAGAAGGGACAAAATCCTATTGAAAAAAAAATCTCCTTGGTCCTTTTTAAGAAGGCGCCTTGCCGAGGGGAGGAAGATCGTTTTGTTACCTGGCCCCTGACATTTTCCCATATTTCCTGCAGTTCATTCACCTCGAAGGCCAGAGATCACAATTCGTTGCATCAGTTGCATTGGAATTGAAGATTATTCTCAGTCTGTCGGATCTTAAGAGATCTATCTTCTGACATCAAAAAAATTTGAAAAGGGTTAGAATCTAAGCCGTGAAAATAGGAAGTAAATTAGTTCTGGCATAATAAGGTAAGGAATATTTTAATTTCATGATGTTTGTCTTATTAGGAACTTTTAAAAAAGTTAAAGGATAAAAAAATATTACAACTTATGAGTTATCTTAATAGAAAAAATTATTAAATGTTTTTTAAAATCTATATAGGAATAAAATAGATTAAATATTTAAAGTTATACCAGAAAATAACTTTATATAGGTAAGAAATATAGGTTTAAAAGGTCAGATACCGTAAAGGTAAGGTATTTTACGATAATTTTTATGAAAGTATACATCGAAATAGAGCTTTCAATGACTTTTATAAGAAGAATTAAGAAGAATATAAGAATTCTATAAGATTCAAGATTCAATATATTTTGCCAAACGCTGATCACTATAATTTTTTTATCTTTTATGATAAATATTTTTGATGATCTTTAAAAACTATCTTAAAAGTTGCCGAATAGTTTCATTGAAACCACTATCCTTTAAAAAAAATGCAAATGAATAAAACGCAGCCGCGAATAATTATAAAAAATAGATTCTGACAGACAGAGGGAGAACTGGGGAGAACACAAAGAGAGAATCCAGACCATAAACCAAATGTCCTTTGAAAAGGAAACGGGACGTCGGGCAAGAAATCAAGGCGAACAAAAAAGCGCGCCAAATGAAGATTTCTAAAAAAAAATACCCGAGACAAAGGGGCTAAAAAGAGAAAGCTATAAGGCGAATGAAAGAGATGGAATCAGAAATCAGAGTTGTCTGGGATTATTGTGCAAGGCGAGCTGAGTTCATAATGAAGTTCAGGATCATAATCTTGGCGATAATGATAATTTCAGATTGTGTTTGCACAATTTGCAGGCTCACACACACAAACACAACACACGCACACACACACACACATCAAACAATAGGGAGAGGGCAAAGGCAACCCGTTTTTTAAGGGTTCCCAACCGCCAACAAAAGGGGATGAACCTCATCCTATGTCCTTTTTCCCTTCCAAATTACGTTTCACCCCTTTGTAAAACTCTAAAAAAAAAACGAAGTATAAAAAAATAAAAGAGGCGAGAGCGATCGCTTCAAACTTCAATTCGCAGCAGCCGCTAAATTTTTAAAAAACTCATTTCCGAGCACATTTGTCCGGGGAATTAGTCGTGAAAAGTGCGTGGCCGGATAAACAGCCTCACCGCTGAGATGTCTCACATCCAGTAGAGGATTCTTCAAGTATCTTTCGGTTTCTTCAAGTCCTTCTTAAAGTCTTTTAAAATTTTTGAAAAAATGTGATTGCGCGGGAAATTTAAATACTACAAATACAGATGAAA